AGAAGAATCCAGGACGCGCGTACGATGTTCGAGTCTCAGTGGGAACGATGCCACTCACTGGGGTGCAGGTACATCCAGCTGACGAGTCCGAAATAGGACGAAACCCCCGTACTGGATTCTTCTGCTAGCCATAATCAAACAAATTACCGTAATTAACATTTAGACAATATCGAGGCACCCGCATAGGAGCTCAAATGCCAATAGAGGTGGAACAATTCGATCCAATAAAACAACGGAGAATTACAAGTATGTCGGTGAATAGTATGAGATAATAACTAACACTGAAAGAACTTGGCGGTCTCATGCGCGTTGTGATGATGTGTAACCACATCAATAAATGAAAGATCTGACTTAATATACTCACTGATGATTATTTCCGCTAAGGGTAATTAAACCGTTTTCATTTTACGAAAGATCTAATAGAGAATATACAGGAAACTAGAGTAACTGTAAAGAAATTCGTGTTTCGGATTTTACATACAACGGAAAATTTAATGACAAAATAATCAATCATATCTCTATGACATGACTCAACCATTAGTGAGTTAGATGTGATCATATCTATGGATGGTGTAATTAATCGGATGTTTGTTTTGGGCAAGTTTGTATCAGTCATACTGTTACTGTCATTAAGACATTCGTTGAACGCAGCTTAATTTGGTACATGTGCCGTCGTTAGTGTTAATAATTTTTAACCAAGGGAGATGAATACAACCACTTTTAACTTGATACATTAGCCTCGCCTTATTATTCCTAGCTACCATTGTGTATTGCTTGGGTTTAATTATCTCTTCATATTTCAACTGCAATGAATCGAATCGAAATACACTCAGCAACTGCGCGCATATTCATACAGTATGCAGTGAGCCAAACCTATTGTGTGAGGCCTAGTGATACTACCTGGCTCCCCAAACCTTGGTAGGCGGAGCAGGGTGCATTGGTTGAAAGTCATCTCCCTAAATCAATGAGCCATAGCTCCACCAAGTTTACTGATTGCATGGGCTGCTTTTATTCTTCTTAGATGGTGTTTTCAGCTTCACATATGTATTTTATATTTCGAACGCTTACTGAAGTAATTATCTCTTGGTATTGTGAGAAGACATGACTGATTAATAAGCCCCTTGATTGCCTTTTCGTTTGAAAGATCACAACTAAAAAGTAATCAATACTTGAAGTCAATGTTAATTTTTGTACGGATACTTATGTCATAAACTTGTTTCTTGTGGCTTCTCATAAATGTCGTTGACTTTCGTACGTAATTGTGAATGAAATTTTCTCAATTTCAAACTCAGACTGATGAAATACTCATCCAGTTTCAATATGAATAAGGCACTTAATGCTCTTTTCGTTTTCTCAAGTTATTGAATTAGCTGTATGTTTCACCTGATGTATACTTTGTATTCGTGTAATGTGCCTCTGATTGAACAAATAGAACAAACTTAATATTTTACTGTTCTAGAAGTCTATTGTGTGACAACTATTTTTTAGTCGCATTTTGATTCTATTTTCCACTTTCTAGTGTTGCAAGTAAGGCATAGAGATAGGGATTATTGAAATTCATTAGTTACAGGTGGGTGGATTCTTCATTCCATAACTTGTATTACATTCGAGATGAAGGTAAATCAACTTCGATGGTATAGAAAATTAGTTGTTGGCTTACAGAATATAAAGGACATGAAGTACGGAACGGTTAAAGCTTTAATGTAAAGGAAGTTTGTACATTCTTAAAAAAGACAAGTAGGTTTGTCGTTTCTAGATGCTGTAATCCAATCAGCAGGCTTGCTGCCAACATCTTACATCAAAACACAGTGCACCATAGTTTCTTGTCACTTAGCTTAGTTGCCACATTGCAAACTTCGTTGGTCCACTTCGATCAGTACTGAGTGTTAAGGATCGGACAGCTAGAACTATTACTTATCGTTGAATAACTCATGTACAAATGGGTATAAATAATCACTTCCCAGGTGATAGGTTTCAATGAAGGATCCTATGAGTTTTAATTACTCATCTGGTGAGGTTATTTTTGATAATTGTAGGAACTGTTTCATATGAGACTGACTGCATCACATGATTGATATATTTCCTGAGTTTTCAGTACTTAACAATTAACTAAAAACTTACAGGATGCGCTATTTTTTATGGTTAATTGCTTTTCAGGGTCACTTAAAAGCAGTAAATCCGCTGAAATTTTGCTTGCTGTAGTGATTTCTCACTTATACACCAGTTTGCTATGACATCTTATCGAATGATATGTTTTAGATTTTGGTTATAAAACAATTGTGTTCAACGTTTATTATAAAAAAGGACTTAATTTTTTATTGCCAAACGACTTCTATTTTCTAGGAAATACAGTTTTCAACACGGCATACTGTGAATAACGAAGTTGGAGATTTTAGATATGGTTAATATAAAGTGGTGGTAAAAATCTCTGTAGGCAGTGCTATGCACATAAATCCAATTTTTTTGTTGAGAAGACAGCTTAAGTATGTTAGTAACATACTTACTAGTGAGAATAATATTTGAGCGTAGATTTTATTTGCTTTCTGAATCTTAAATACTCAACAGTCTCCACTCATTGAGAACCGAACAAGCAAGAATTATCACCAAGCTTCGTACACTGGGTGTATTTCGTATCCTAGTTCATAAATCTGTATGTTTTTGTAATTAATCCTTTGGTGTATTTTCTAACTATCATGAAAACAGTAATTGCTATCAGGAGTATGAAATTATGACTTCATATAATCTGAAGTGTTAACGTGACCCTCCACTTAACATTCAATCATCAATCAGGTGTGTGAATTATCATCTTGAGGTCTCTGGTTTTTATACTTGTTTGTTGTATGATTCAATTGCTTTCAGGTGGATATTCAGCATGAACTGACATCAGTTGGAGAAGCATGGGAGCACTGGACAGCTATTTCGTTCTAGTACAGAACTCCTCAACAGTGAACACGCACGACACTGCTAGGGACCGAACCCAGGACCTTTAGGTTACGTGGCCAGCAGATTACCATTGAGCCACCGGGTCAGAATCCAACGGTCCATATTCTAGACTTCTATCAGTTCGCGATATAGCGTGGGGTCATGAGTGCCCAATCTTGAGGAGTCCCATAATGGGACGAAACAGCTGTCCAGTGCTCTCAGGTTCCTTATATTTCTCCAACTGTTATCAGTTCATGGTGAATGCCGACTTAAAATTAACAAATAAATCCACACAAACCTCCAAACCGTATAACATTTTCCGATCAAAAAGGCTGAATATCTTAGATTAATATTTGAGATCTTAAATATCTGTTGTTCAAAATCTGTACATTTTTCCCTTTGCCATTACCACTATAATTTTCTGCTAGGTCACTTCAGCAACATCAATTTTATCTGACTTTTGTAAAGTTGTTATTCATCATAGACTGACATCAGTTGGAGGAACAAAGGAAACCTGAGAGCACTGGACAGCTGTTTCGTCCTATTATGGGACTCCTCAGCAGTGCGCACCCACGACCCCATCAGCAGGGATCGAACCCGCGACCTTCGGGTTCCGCGGCCAGCGCCTTACCATTGAGCCACTGGGTCAGAATCCAATGTTCCATGTTTCCAACTTCTGTTAGCTCACGATATATAGCGCAACCGCCACTCAATGTCAACGCTGAGTATCTGTCCTCGTGGCCATCAGGCTTTGATGTCAGTCTACGATGAATAACAACTTGAAATAATTCCAAATCTCCACAACTCCCTCAAAATGTAATTGACTTTTATAAGTTGTTATTTTTGTATCTAAACAGACGGTTAAAACAGCATAGAACCCAGCACAGAAATATTTCGGTTGAAGTTGCCATAATTCACAGCAGCATGTAAAGGATAAGCGAGCAAAAGAAGAATAAAATTAAGGTAGACAAAAGTGTGCTAGAGGAGAGGGGATAAATCGATGATGATTAGGCCTGAGACGGAAACACCATAAACTATTGCCATATCTTTTAAAGGCTACTTTTTATATGTATGTAGTAGGACAGAGGGGACTGAAGGGTAGTATACTCATCCCTTAACTGGTAGTCACATACTTTTGCCGATGCCAGAAATGGCATAAGTTAGCAACACCGTCGAAAAAAGTTATGCTGTAGTTTTTATATCTCATAAACTGACTGACTTTATTCGTGTAGGTACTCACTTATCACTTACTGACTATTAGATCTAAGCTGTTGCATATTCTGAACACTTCCAGATTGGCGGTATGTGTGACGGACACAAAGATATTTGTAGTTCATGGATTGGTAGGAGAATTTGAACAGGATAACTAAAAGTTAATCTGTACTGGATATGATGTTATATTTCCTGGAAAAGTATAATGCGCTTTTCCCGTGATTATTATGCTTCCTATTTCAAGCTTTTTGAAATTGTGTTTTATTAGTTGAAGGTCATTTGTGGTCAGATAAATTAGTAGAAGTACAAGTATCGATATTTTTATAAATGTCAGCTGATTTTCACATGCATCTGACTGAACGTAAATTATCGATCATTGGTAGGATAACTATATTTAACTTTCGATTTTCGATAATAATGAATATCAGTGAACGTTAGTGATTATCAGAAAATTATTACATTTGGATTCATCAGTCTCTATCCACGTAGGCGGATGGGGTTGTTCTATTAACCTCTAGTTAGTAAATGAAGTTGTGATTACCTAAAAGCATTTTAGGGACTACCTGTTAAAAACATGCTAAGCGAACATAATTTTAACTGGATAATAATTACAGCCTGTTTCCACTGTTTACATGGCTTTACTTTTATTTTATTCGCTGTCATTTCTTTTCCTTTGTATGTATTCTGTTTTGTTGCCTTTTTTTGTGGAATAAAGTGTATTAAAGATCTGTATTGTGAGGATTCACTGGGTATACCCTTGAAGACTGTTCATTATCTCATTTTAAACTTAATTAGATACTGAACGTTTATGAGATGTTATATAGTTGCTAATTAATTCAAACAATTTTTTCTTTGAATTCAATACAGCCTTCAGTTAATTCGAATCTATGTGTTTTGACACAGAAAATTGGACGTCTAATGCTTATTGGCCTAAATCGACCAGATAAAGGTAATTGTATCAATCGTGCAACTGCTGCTGCTTTGAATGATGCATTTTACAATCAATTTGAAAAAGATGATGATATAATTGGAGGTGTACTATATGGTGAAGGTAAAGACTTCTGTCTAGGTTTGGATATTGAAGAGTTGACGGATTATCTAAAACAAAATCCTAATTGTGATAATACATCGATAAATAGACTGTATTCTACTTTACCTACAGTAAGCTATATTCATAACTTAAACACTAATATGTTTTTCACTGTTAACTATTTTGTTTCATGCTTTCTGGTGTACTTGCAATCTATAATCACTGAGGTAATCGAATCGGTATCACTTAACATAACAGCACTACGACTGCGTTATTTGGATCATACTATGACTAAATTAAGCTGCGTTTTCTTTCTGTAGATATATACTTTGTTTACAGAACATCATTGAGTATCATTTTATGATTATTAACGTTTTTTTGAAGCGAAAGTTTCAACCTTTGTTGATCTTTTTCATAAGGTCGTAAAAGAGATTATTATAGCATAGTATAGTCGAAATTAATGAAAAACAGATTATGTGTTGAAGTTTCCGGTCAAGATTTACGAAATCAGTAGTGCTGACTTACTACAACACTACCCATTAAACGATTATTTAATTGTTGATGACCCATATTTATCGTGTAATGGATTATGATACTACTTGGTTTCTCTACCTTAAGTAGGTGTAACAAGATTTGAAAGTCGAATGCTTGAGCTTATTAGCCGTATTTTTTTAGGATCACTAGTGGAATGTCTTAAATCGTCATTTGATTATCAGAAGGTGTTTTAATGTATATTATCTTTACCATTTCACAGGATCCTAGTAAAATGTGCTTTTCTAAACCTCTTGTTGCGGCAATCACTGGAAAAGCTGTTGGTGGAGGTTTAGAACTTGCATTAGCATGTGATCTTCGTGTTGCAGAAGTCGATTGTATTCTTGCCTTACATAAAAGAAAATACTGTAAGTTTGGAAAATTAACAACTTCCCTGTCACATGTCATTATTAATATTCATGGTCCATCTCCATATACCTAATCAAGAGAAATTGTTAATGAGTTACGATGGTTCACTTTAAAAAAAATATTATTTTACTTGTAAAGGATGTGTATAAGATTTACTTTTTATTTATTAATTCACTTTTGTTTCTTGGTGGTAATAATTTTATAATGATGTGATTCCGTTTCATTTTATAATCATAAACTGTTTTATATAACCGTTGTATATAACTAAGAAGAATGACTTTAGTTTGTTCATTCGACCAACAAATATTCATTTACACTTTCAAAACCACCCCATCTCCCGAGCTCTAAGTAACCAGTTATTACGAATGGACTTCACACATTAGACACGACTCACAGCCTTGACATATAAACCTAGAATAGGTTACTGAGATGTATTTTTATGTTAATTATTAAGTTCTTGAGGATGTTTAATGACGCTGCCTAAACCATTCCAACGCACTGTCAACTGAAGTGACTTAGTCAAGTATTTTGCATGCTTATTCATAACCTTACTTGGTGAGCAATGTTGAAAAAAGTGGGCTCAGTTCGCAAGAGAGCTAAATATGGTCAAGGTTATGTCAAATTGAGCAAAAATATTTTTGATCATAAATGGTGTTTTATTCCATGTATTCCGATTAATTCAGTTTTTATTATCATCTTATTTCGATGACTAGATTACTAGATCTCAGTTCTTACAAATAATGAGTAACCATGACGTCAATTATGCATAATTCAGGTGCTTAACGATACCGTTTCGTTGGTACTTAGGTTCTGTCAAGTTCAACAACACTGGACAATAAATTATAAACTAAACTGTTCTAATTATTAAATTTGTTTGCTAGTGAGACTGTTTAAAATAGCCGTGATTTGACACACTGACGTTATTGACGCTGCGTGATAATTGAAAGCAAAATAGAAACTTGGGTTATGGCAGGATTCGCCATCCTTACTTTCTCTTTCATCGAGGGAGAGAAGATACATCGGCCAATTGGCTTCCTGAAGACTTTCATCAACGGCGTTATTTCGTCCCCCCGATCCCAGCGAGGAATAAGTTTGTTTTCATTTTTATAATTTCTTTGTGCTTAGAAGTTTCTTTAGCGATTGGATTGGTTTTACATTGGGTTGCTAGCCCTATTCCCAACCTTCATTGTTTATCCGGGCTTAGGACCGGCTAGTAGCTAGTGAAGTAGTTAACCAGGCGAGGTTCGTCACGATTTTTTGTTTACGAATTACTTGGTAACACATTTGAGGTAGTCTGGTGATGAAATGTCCGTGATTAAACATCAAAACTTTGAAAAATACTCGACGAATTTCATCTTGATTTTTAGCTAAAAGTCTTCTTTCTTTCTAGTATTCGAAATTTCGTTTAGACATCATACTGATTTCCCTATCTAATGTCAACATGAAATTGGGTTACTCTTTTTGCACGGAGTTAGTTTAATATTTTGTTTAGAGATATCTCAGCAGTCTTTTAGGAAAATATCATAGGGGATTGACTATTTTGTCTTCATTGACGTTTTGTTTGTCAAACGTTATGTGTAGAGTGTGGTGGTTGTGGCATTACCTGGATAGTCACACACAGTTAATGGTGGTAGTGTGATAAGCTTGGGTTTGTGAGTTCTTGTGCTACTGATCCATCACTTCACTCACTAACGTTTAGACAGTGATAACCATAGAAAATGTGTGCATTCGTGTACTGATTTAGGAACCGCAATTATTCTTTTGGGGTAACCAATATTACCGTGATTCCTAGAACCTTAGTGGACAATGCATGATCTAAGCCCATAACTTACCGTGAGTGAAATATCTGATCCAGTAGGCCACATTACTATCGGAAATATCATAACTGGTAATGGTAGTTTTGTGGCATAATTAAGCGTTGCTTATGGCGTTTATATTCTCTCACTACAGAACGACTCAGTAAACAGGTGCATACCTGGTAATAAACCATGCCTATTGTATGCATGTTAACTATAATAGAACTCATTGAAGTCGAGTACCTAGATCATCGAAAGATAGCTGCATGATACCTTTGAAATAATCCGTGTTATCTTGCCTTTTCAAAAACAGGTATACCTATGATGAATATGGGGACAATACGCTTACCAGCACTAATTGGTTTATCTCGTGCCTTAGATATGGCAATGACTGGACGTGAGTTAAATGCAAACGAAGCTTTGCAGTTTGGATTGGTCAACCGTGTTAGTCCCACTGGGACAGGTGAGCTGTAGTATTTACTAACCTTACTGCCATCATAGACTTCATACAAGTGATATTTTTGAATGCTGTGTAAAGGATGTTAAGATAAAACAATAAGACGTAAATTGTCTGAACCGTGTAATGTATTTGCGCAACACATTTCGAACTATCTGATCACACACGTACTTGTCAAAGGTATTTATATAAAAACTCATGAAGATAAGGGGTGAGAAAATAAAAAGGGGTCAGGTAAGAAGGCTGATTTAAAGGCCGAATAACAATGAAAACCAATAGAGCGAAGAAATAATAGTACATCGAACTTGGTTCTCAATAGTTGAATTTACCAAGGAAGATCTAATGTGACAACAAACACATAAAGGTGGTTTCAACTTCCTAATAGCTAAGGCTTCAACAAATTTCAGGATCCTGCTACTAGGAAGTTGAAACCACCTTTATGTGTTCATAAACAATTTGTTGTCACATTAGATCTTCCTTGGTAAATTCAACTATTGAAAACCAAGTTCGATTTACTACTATTTCTTCGCTCTATTGGTTTTCATTGTTATTCATCCTTTAAGTCAGCCTTCTTACCTGACCCCTTTATATTTTCTCACCCCTTATCTTCATGAGATTTTATATAAATACCTATGACAAGTACGTGTGTGATCAGATAGTTCGAAATGTGTTGCGCAAATACATTACACGGTTCAGACAATTTACGTCTTCTTATTGTTTTGTCGAAGTTTATAAGGGGAACTAACTGTTTTTAATTCTTGAATAGATGTTAACATAGTCAAACGTATAGAATAATTGTTCGCTGGAGTAACTGTTTACTTTTCTTAATCGTTGTTTTTACTATGTACGCATTTGACTACTTTTAGTAGTATAAATCTTTTACAAAATTTATTGGTTCATGAAATGCTGTTATACTGGATTGATTTCTAGCATGCTGACGTTTACATTCAAAGTAATCATACCTTATCCGTAGGTTGTGTTTAAAACACTGGTAGGCGTACTTTGAATGCAGAGTGATTACATTTGAGAAGGAAAACCTCTACAATTAGCTTACAGTTTTTGCAGTAATATTATTTTTTCATTATAAAACCCAAAAAAACTCTATGGTATGAAAAGTTAAACTCTTTAAATCACTAGAGCTTTTGAGGCTTGGTTTCATTGCATTTTTTACATTTGTTAGCAAGATAATTATATGCGCAAAATTGATAAATGTGACAAATCCTCACTCACTATTACTGAATACTGATCGATTGACACTCGAATGTGATAGTTAATTCAAGTGTGAAACGATTTTTTATGGGTGAGGCTAGAAGTTATCTCCAGGTGTTATCGTGCTCACCATAAGTTGTGGTGTTATTTGTGGAAATACAAACATTTTCTGTGTTCTGTATTAATATCCTACCTATTTGCATGGTTTTTACAATGCCGTCTGTCATTGATTTATGTATCACACCTTTTATTCATATGCAAAGTGTTGCAGCCATAACTGTGCTTCCACTTCTTAGGAGGAAAGTAAGTAGAATTATTCAGGAAGAATGTTGTTCATGGATCATAGTGAGTTACTTGAGGCTTCAAATTACATCCGAAAGGTTCTATAATTCGTTTTTCACTGCAGGACTTTTCCATACAGAACACATAAAATACATATTTTCAGACAATGCTGTAACACCTAAGGATAACTTTTAGTCTCACCCTTCTTTGTTTTGAATGTTCTGAATCCATGTTCAGTTTGAAGTTAGAATACGGTTAATTCTGACGTTTGATGAATCAGAGAGGTAATATAAAATTAATTCCTTAAAACTTAAGACTTATTGATTTGTGAACCGAAAAGGCTTATATTGTAAATCAAGCGATAACCACTCATGGGACTTAAATTATTAACTGATTGAACTGCATTTATGCAGAACTTAAGGGACTGAAGATATCAAGAAGAGTAAAAATTTGTCACTTTCTTATAATCGAATATTAATCAAGGAAGTAAAAACTATTATTGCAAAAGACAGGTTGAGAAAAAAATGAAGACAAATAGAGATAAAATCAACATAGAACCTCATACACAATTGCATCGGTTCCAGTTGCTACATTTCACAGTAGTATACAAGAGACATGTGGATAGAAGAAGAGTGGTAATAAAGTAGATAAATTTGTGTGTGAGAATAAAGAGTTCAAAGATGAACGTTAGTGCAAGTATTCAAGCTTTAGAAGAAATCAAGGAGAGAATACTTCTGCGCATTTGTGACAGATTTTCAGCCATTTCGTCGAGAGTCCTCAATTACTTATTTCTTTTGTCTCGGGGACCCCGGCCATTTAGTCTTCATCTCTCCACTCCACTCAGACCAACAATAAGAGGAGTCTCTTACTTCATCGACTGATGCCACGTGTTGGTCTGGCCATCGTGAGCCTTCTTGCAATTTAATCCAACTTTCCCTAGCATTATATGTTGACATAGGCGGTGACTGGGCATGCGCAACACATGTCGAAACCATCTCATTTGACTAAGGTTCACAACCTTATCAACCCACTTGTTTGTCTTGCCTAATACCCTTCACCTGACATATGCATTTATCACACGGTGATTCCACCAAACGCAAGCAATGCTGCAAAAAAGTGAAAGACGGTAAATAATCAATATGTTCTTATCACTGACGATAAGGCTGAATGTCTAGATGTTATTCTGCAAACCTATGAAGGTCGCATAAATTAGTTTACATTATGGATAGACATGGACTTAGGAAGTATTAGAAACCCGTAAGCATTGCACACCTGTAAAGACAGATACCTTGTGATGACATCGAGTTATGATTGGTCTTAATCAAAAGCGAACAGTTAGGAAAATATGGACCATTTAATCCCAGCATAGTGACTGAATGGTATAATGTTCATAATGGGACTTGGAATTCATTTACTTGATCTCTCGACAACTTCTGAGCGTTCACTTTTGTAAAACCCTAAAATCGGACGAGGCGGTTGTCTAGTACTCTAGAGTTTGACTGATCAAGTGTAGAGAACTACTGATTTTTATGTCTTTTGAAAAGTGAATCCTCATTTGATAAAATTTTTATGATTTGTTTCAATAGTGCTTACAATTGTAAATTGATTATTGTATGGACATACCTATTAGTCGGTAATTCTATCTTATTCTCATTCACTGTGACACCCCTAACTAATTGGTTTTATCTGTATATAGTTTTTTTTCCCCAGAGCTCATCTTTAGCTATTTTTCCTCTTATTTTTCAAGGACTTTCTTTTATTATTTTTATATCATAAAGGTCAGTGGAATAGTTTTCCTTTGAAATATATAGAATATACCATTAAATGATGATCTACTTTTACAAGCGCTATCGAATATTTACTGTCAGATAGCATCGTATCGTTCATTTTCATGCCTGCATTTTAAAACTTTACATTTTTATAACTATCCAAATTCTTATTCTTTTCTTCCTACTGGTTCATTTAAGGGTGTCAACATACTCAGTTGTCATTTCTTGTGAAAAAGTATAATTTTAAGGCTAAGAGTGTTAAGCTCACTTTTCGATTGCATTACAGTTGACTGTTTGTATACTATTCACCTGAGTGGTTTTGTTGGAACTCGCTCTCACTTTTTCACTGACTTCATTACGGATAGCTTTTTCCGTATTGCCATTCTTGCTACAAGATGCAAATTTACGAAATATATTTACATTAGGATTTTTCTAGCAAAATCGAAACGTTGAGGAATAATACGAAATATTTGCTTACTTTGTTATTTGTTCTAATATACTATGCTGGGATTACACAAGTAAAAATACACCTTAATCAATGATATCTTAACTGTTAAAGTGATAAAGTTGGGTTTGATAGGAAGAAAAACGTGCCTCAGGAATATAAAATTCATAATCTCCCACGGTTATATTCTGACATTTATTCATTTCTGCCCAGTTTTAACTTGATTCATTCGGAGAAACACTGTTTGACCTAGCAACCACTCAGTCCATTACAGCTATGCTCATGCGTCGTATTGTTGTTACTACTGGGGAGAGTACCTGTTTTGACCCTACTTACGTGTTGGCCTGAAGTTGCATATTTCTGCCTATGAATGCGTGCCAGAAACAAACGTGAGATAATCCCTAATTTACTGAGGACTGAAATACAAATAGGTGGGAAGAAAGCTGAGGGTAACCAGACCGAGAAGCATCATCAGTTTATAGGCTCACTTAGTGTTAGTTCAACTTTATAGGATGTTACAGTCTTTCAGGAGGGATTTCTTGTGATATTAAAATAAGAAACCAAAATAATGTAACTGAAAAGTGGTAACGCTGACATGTGGCTTTTTTGTTTGCTGTAATAATTCATTCCATATCCGAACGAACATTTCAGAGCTTTACTTAACACAGTAGAATCTGTTCCGGTCATTTAATTTTCTAAGGTCCCTAATTTATGATGCAGAGACTTGAAACTGTACTGTTCTATTACTTCATATAGTTAATTGTCACATTATTCAGTCTTGTGGTGTAATTTATTGCCTCCTTTAGTGATTTTAAGTAAATACAACCTTCCCGTACTTGCTCTTTTATTGTTGATTAGCTGTAGGTTGACCTGTCCCCTCCCAGCTGTTATATTCTGGTATTCATAATTCGCGTATGTAATTTAGCAGACTAAATTCCCTTAGTGAGGTTTTATTTATACTAGATATTTAACACTCAGATAATATATCGATTTCAAAGTACTTCAAGCTTCATCACTTTTTATAATCATAAGGTGGTTGCTGGTTGTGCTGGTATCCCGATAGTGGATCGAACTCAACTCATATCACTTTGAAGTCTGTAGTGTTACTGATTCACCACAGTTGTTGCCGGTTACGTAACTACTGTTTCTGACCATTCCTCATAGATATGTCGGACGATGAAGTGCACTCAGCTACCTTGTACACATCCGTGTGGTAGGCAATGGGTCATACTTATTGTATGAGGGCTAGTGATACTACCTGGCTGCCCAAACTTCGGTAGGTAGGGCTGGATTCGAACCCA